GAAAAAAAAAAAAAAAAAAAAAAAAAAAAAAAAAAAAAGGTGGCAACAAAAGTCATTTTTGGTTTCTGTATGACAAATTCTGGTGCGGGAGGTGCGTGCACTGCCTTTCATTTCAATGGTACCCCAAATGCACCTACTGCTGCAGTGCAATCACCCGAATCGGAAGTGTGGTACCGCAATACTGTGCGTTCCAGTGTGGTACGATTGCAGAAAATTGTGCATGCAGTTTTATTCTGAAGTAAACTTTATGTTTTTAGTAACACTCCATTTGCCTATTTTATTTTAAATTAAAGTGACATTAAAGTCAAAATCCCCCCCAATGCTGCTTTATGGACTTAGCTTAAATGATGCCTCTTGATCCAATCATCATCTTCTTTCTAGTTTTCAGGAATACCTCCAGCGCTGGTGCCGGTCTCTGATACAGCACTGACTGCTGTCTTCTAAGCCCCACCGTGCCTGTGTGCGTGCACATTGCCGGGCTGCCTGCATTGACTTACCCTGTGTCTCTCCTCTTCTCCCGGCCGAAGATCTCTACTGACCATGAGCCAGCCCCATGATCCTTCACGGCCACTCGAGAACCTTCAGATCTTCGGACGGGAGCGCGCGGCAGAGACACAGGTAAGCAAAACTTTTTGGTAACTTTTTTTTAATGTTTTTGCATATATCTACTGCGAGAAGGGAGGAGGCGCTGTGAACTTCAAAGGACGTGCACAGCTCGGCTCAGGTCCCTACCAGGAGCGTGCAGATAGTAGGCTGCAAAGAAGTCATCTAGGTAAAGGAGACACCCCTAAAACACAAGGAGGAGGGAAGTGGTTTGGGACGAGCCAAACAGATGAAAATAGAAATTTTTGAAGAACACGCATAAACTTGTTAACCCAGTGTAGACCCCCTGTGCTGAAAATGTGTTTTTAAAAGCAAAGGGTTAAAGTGACATAAAACCCTCAGATTAACATAAAACAATACTGTAATGTGTGCCTTACTGTAATCCATGGTTGTTTCCCTTCTCTTTGCTGCTCTTCCTTTTAAATCTGTATCTCTTCCAGGGCCGGTGCTAGGAATGTATTCAAGGTGGGCAAGGTGCAATTTTGCGCCCCCCCCCGATCCCGACCTCCACCCCCTGTAAAAACAGGGCATTTTGACAAGTATTGTACTTGCTTGTCAAAATGCCCCGATGTTTGCGCTAACAGAGAGAATATTTTTTGCAATTTTTTTTTTTTGTAAAAGGTCTCAGTGCTAGCCACATAGGGAGTGCATTGTTTTCAGTAAGTCACCCAACCCCCCGTGTTTAGAAGTGTAATTCTACTGGCTACAATATTCATTTATATATCTGGAACAAGAAGACACAGGAAGTTTTCTTTTTAGCCATCTTCCAGGGCGCAGTAACTAATAGCAACGAGAAGCTTTAGGCCTGGTTCACACCTGGGCATTTTGTGGCGCGTTCGAACGCTCTGCAAAACGCTCAAACACCGAAATCCCATTATTTCCTATGGGTATGGTTCACACCTGGGCGTATTACAGGCCGTATGAACGCGCTACAAAACGCCCTATGCCCAAAGAAGTAGAGGAGCTTCTTTGGGGCGTTTTTGTTGCGCGTTTCCATTGGGATACAGCAAAGTAGCCCTAGGAAACGCGAATCGCTGTAA